AATATTTTAGATAGAAAAAATATACAAAAAATGGCCAAAAACATTTGAAAATATAATTAAGTAAATTTATTTAAAAATCTATATTAGTAATATATTTTGATCATTTTATGCTTATTTTGAGTTATATATATATATATAAAAAAAGTTTTTTTCCTTGAAGCTTGACAAATGAATCAGAAGCAACATTAACATGACTCATTTGATCGCAATGCCTAAAGTCATTTTTCCCTTAAAATTGGATGAAATATGTAAATAACCACATACATTTCCAAGATATAGCTGGACACCAATCAAATATGCAATATTGTAAGGTCATGTGACAACAGTGCAGCATATTACTGTTGTAAACATTTTTCTGCATGCTGCAAAATAATAGTATGCAGAAAGCAGTACATACAGCACAGTATGCAGAAAGAAATTTCACTTCCAACGCTCTGTGAGGTCAAATATAGAGAGCGAGAGAGAATTGAAAACAGTTATTCCAATGAATGAGTTATTGAGTGGAGAGAGAGAAAGGCAGATAGGAAGAGCAGAGTACATAAAACTAAACAATGAGTAAACACAGAAAGCAACAGAAACAGGAAGAGGAGAAAACGAAAAACAGATCCAAAATGAGTATGACCCTTATGGGCAAACAGCAGCGTGTGTACAGTGTGCAGATGTGTGTGGGTGTATGAATGATAATCACGCCGCGAGTGTGTGTGTGTGTGTAAACAGAGTCTGTGGGACGATGAGCGCTCATGTATTCTGCCGTCGTATATATCCTACACCTATAGTGTGAATTCTCATTACTTCCTGTGTACAGAGAGCTTGCTGGTAATTTCATTCTCCAGTTCACTTCCTCTCTCGACGTTCCCTCCCCCTGTCAAAGGTAAATTAAGCATGACTTCCAGATTTACTTTGGAATATCGAAACTTTCAGAGCAGAAATAAACAGAACAGCCGCATAATGAGTTTCTCTATCTTTGAGGCTAAAAACCACATCCAGCCACAGATCAGCCGAATGGATTCAGGTGTTAATGTAGATGAATAATGTATATGCATATCTTGGCTCTCTGCTGGTGGTGTGACGGATGTGTGCGGTCATGCAAATAGGTTTAAATGAGCTTTGATTAGTCAGGACTGATTGTTAAAGAGTTCTGCAGGACGCTCTGAATAAGAGCGGATGCTAAATGCAGTTAATGTACATCAGATGACTGAATTATGGTGAAGTTGATCTGGAAGGAGGCTCTGTTAAGTGCCTGCACTTGGGAAACTGTGGTGTGATGTGCGTAATTTAATGGCAGTTAAAATACTTTCTCCTGTTCCAGTTTAATATGAACAGACAACAGCAAGGAAGCTATTTGTGGGCTGAAAGTATAAACACTGTGGCTGCATGGCACTATGAAAATATTATATGTTTATTTGAGCAGCCTGACATTGCAACTTTTGGCTCAATCAATGCATGGAGTGAGTTTGGGGTAGGAGACTGTGCTATTATGATTACTAACAAAAACTGAATGAAAACATTTTTGTTAATGGAAATAGAAATTGAAAATAAAAATTAACATTACTGGGAAAAATTGAAACTAAAATACATTTTCATGACTCCAAAACTCAATAAATATAATTAAAATAACTAACTAAAGAAAACAACTAACTAAATATAAAAAAAATATAAATTGACATAATAAAAAGAATGATAAAATGCTAAAACTAAATTAAAACTAACAATAATAATAATTATTATTAATATAATAATAATAATTATTATTATTAATGAAAACTGAGTGAAAACATTTTTGTTAATGGAAACATAAACAGAAATAAAAATAAACATTACTGAGACAAACTAAAACTAAACTAAAATGATAAAACTAAATTAAACTTTCTTGATTCTAAAACTAACTACCGGTAAGTATAAATTGAAATATATAAACTAAAAAATTAAATAAAATAAAAAAATAAAAATAAAATAGAAAAATTATATATATATATAATAAAAATAATAAAATAAATAAATACAAATAAACAATAAAAACATGATAAAGCATAAACAAAAAACAATACAATTCTAAAACTAAATGAAAACTAACAGAAACAGTGAGAATTAATAAGAAATCAAGTTCAAGTTCAAGTTTATTTCTAAAGCACATTTAAAAACAGCTAAAAGCCGACCAAAGTGCTGTACACGGTCAATAGCACAAATACAATAAGTAAAATATTAATAGCATAATGTCAAATACACATAACATGACTATAACGAAATCAATTAATAAACGCCAAAGTAAAAAGATGAGTTTTTAGACAAGATTTAAACACATTAAAATCAAATTGATTTTGATGCCTGGAGTCTGAGGAGTTAAAAACTATGACCTCCGTTTTATCTGTGTTTAAGAAAAGAACATTTTAAGAAAGCCAGGATTTAACATCATCAAGACAAGCAGATAAAGTATTTACAGCACTTTCTTTTTTCCTAGTAATTGGTAAATATATTTGCATGTCATCGGCATAACAATGAAAAAAAAACTCCATGCTTTCTAAACAGAACCCAGAGGAAGTAAATATAGAGAAAAAAAGAGTAGGAGCTAAAATCGAGCCCTGAGGAACACCACATGTTGAAAGACCCAGAGATGAAGTACAATTACCTATTTTAACCCTAAATCTTCTATTAGTTAAAAAGGATTTAAACCAACTTAGAACAGCACCTCCCAGGCCTACAAAAGATTCTAATCGAGAGATAAGAATCTCGTGATCAACAGTATCAAAGGCTGAAGATAGGTCCAGCATTACTAAAATGACGGAATCTCCAGAATATGTAGCCATTAAAACGTCATTAAGAACTTTTATAAGAGCTGTTTCAGTACTGTGCAAAGATTTGAACCCAGACTGGAATGTCTCATAAATCTGATTATTTGTTAAAACGGACTGAAGCTGTAAACACACAATTTTTTCCATCACCTTAGAAATAAACGGTAATACAGATATTGGCCGAAAATTGGATAAAACAGTAGTGTCAAGTGAAGGTTTTTTTAGGATAGGAGAGACTGTGGCCATTTTCAGACTGTCTGGTATAAATCCAGATGACAAACATTTATTCAACAATGACACAAGCTCTGGTCCCACTGTGTCAATTATTTGTCTCAGATAGCGAGGGTGTATTATATCACCTGGAGAAGAGGAAGGTTTCAATTTAACAATTATGTCCTTCACTGATTGTAGAGAAACCAGATTGAAGGTAGTCCAGGGAGTCACAGATATCGTGCTTGTTTGAGTTTCATAGTCAGTGTCTTGAATCTGAGCCCTCAGATTAGAGACTTTTTCACCAAAAATAAATCAAATTATTTATTCATTACACTTTAATGTGTTTGGAAAATATGTTTGAAAAGTCATTGAAATTCCATTTAATGTTGAAGAAATGGCTAAAAAAATATTTAAAAAATGGCAACTGGTAATATCGTCCAGAGCCCTGTGACAGCAGAGACCCATGCTTATAATTTTCTCCCAGTTCCTATGAATTTAAAGAGCCCTGGGTCAGGGCAGAATAAAAATGACATACATTAAGAGAGAGAGCGTGAGACAGGGTAAAACGGACTAAGACTAAGATCTAAAGTGTGTGTGAGTGTGTATGGATGGACATGTGCTGTACCTCCTCACAGGGTCTGATGAGGCGAACGGCTCGCAGCGTGAGTCTCTTGCCCTCAAAGATCATGACACAGTTGGGCTGGCAGTCGTGGGTCAGCAGAGGCATGCTGTGACAGACAAACACAAAACAAACCATGTTTAAGCACAATTCACCAGCACTGTATCTCACTGGATCCTCGCAATCCTTAATTAGGCCTTCATGAGAATAAAGATCGGGACTAGTAAGGTTTTAGGACAGAAGCTGGTCGTTTAAGAGTAAGAGCAAAATTCACTTTACTAGATCATTTATTTCATGTAAAACAGAGAGCTCTGCCAACAATTTGTTAATTAGTATTAAAACAATATGATAATAAATAACTATTTAAATAAAGTGTTTTTTTTCTGTTTTTTGCACAAACCCAGGTTGATTTAACAAATTACACCCAACGGTGGTGGATTTAGGTCAGCCTGTCAAAACACAAAACTTCTACAAACTCATAACAGTTCCTAATTTTCTCACTAAGTGAATTATTATGTTTTAATTGTTTTTCTTCATCAAACACGGAGTTTAAATCAAACTGCAAATCCCTCATACTCTCGATTTCTCAATAAAACACAAGAACTGTAACTGCTAAATAATGGAACATAAATCAGGCATCACTAATTAATTAACTAAAGAAACACGTTGCTACAGTCAGGAGACACAGAAAACAAGCAAACTGACATGTTTGCCAGCGGGACATTTGTCCTCTTGAATGTGATATGATGTAACCTGCTGCCTTTCTGGAGAGAACAAACTGAAAGCGACAAGGCGAGAATGACAGCAATGAAAGACACTGATGTGACACCGATGATCTTTTTAAGACCCTTGTGCTTTAAGGTGAGATCATCTCTGCTGATGCTGTTAGTGACGTATATGGATGCTGATGTCACACTGGTTATTTACTATAGCTATTTTTAAATTTACAAACATGCATTTGGACAGACGTTTAAATTAATAATTCTTCCAATGTATGTATATACATGTAAATGTATTTTTCTATCTATCCATCCATCCATCCATCCAAATAAATGAAACAAACAAACAAACTATAACGAATAATTGTATAACAAACAATTTACTTCTGTGATGAATAATTTTTTTAGAAAAAATTATTTTTATATACACAATTTTAATTTACTACTTGTTTCCATTAATATATAGAGAAATGTATTTAATATTAATGTTATTTAATAATTTACTTTTTATTAAATAATTACATTTTTTAAATTTCATATATTTACTCATGTTGTTCCAAACCTATATTGTTTTCTTTCTTCTGTGAAACACAAAAGTAGATATTTTACAGACATTTTCCTAAGAGAATGTACAGTGATGTATAATGCCAAGCTCCAAAAAGAAAGAAAAGTTATATAGTCAAAATTAAAAAACGTCATATTAACAGAAGAAAAAAAAAAATGACAAAAGGGTTTAAAACAAAATGACAGTCAGTAAATAATGACATTTTCTATTTTGGGGTAAAATATTAATTTAATGATCAATAAATGCAAGTTATTTTAAAGTGCCCAACCAGTCTAAAATACAAGATTCTATGTTTGTGTAAATCATGTTTGAAGTCTCTTCATGTTAGTAGTACGTCCTTTCGGTGAGATTTTAGAAGATAGTGAGCTGAATGCATGTATTTACATTCACACAAGCATGACAGAACAAACACAGCAATTATAAATCAAGCACGAAAGCACAATTATCCTTTATATGCGGACAGGAATACATGCTATCCTGCTCTTCCAGGCTTCTGCTAATGCATCGGAAGTCATTCAAGAAGCCAGAGCAACAAATTACTTGTGTTTGTCATGGTCTGGGGAAGATTCAACAGTGCCTAAGCACAACGTATAAAGCAGGCTTAGAGCCGGCCCACCCAGCCGCCAGTAAACAGACGGGCCACGCTCTCACGGGACAATCTTTCTGCGTCATTATAATTTCTCTGAGACATCGACAACAATGTCTGAAGCCTTGATTCTGCCTCACATCCGATCTGAAGACTTCATAGCTCATATCTAAACAACAATTTCGACATCTGCCTTTCTGGTTATGTTTGTTCTCTGTAATCCCAGAGACTCATATTCATAGACGAGAAATGTTTCCCATGGATGGTGAATATAGAAGTCATGCCAGTTTAATGGCCCACACAGGGAGGCTAGTTCTAGATATTTCTAAAAACATTTTATCTTTAAATCGGAGATATTTTGCTCTCCCTTCACAGGTTGCTTTGCTAGAAAGATCATAATAATGCAATATCCCGTGATTAGCCAGCATAAATTATTGGATTATTAGCCAATGAAATGGCTTTGTGAAAAGACCATGGCAACAGGCCACACCCTCTGAGCTCTGATGATCAAGCTTCACACATCAGCGCATTTTCATTATATTGTTAAAGCCAGCTATTATTTTAAAAGGAATACATTAAATCAAATCAAAAGTAAAATCAAATGAGAGCACATTTGCATTTTAATCAAATCTGATTTTCACAATCCAAAATAGCAAACAACAGAAAGAAGTTCACTTAAATTCAAGAAAGTTAAATTGAAATAAAGCAAGTACTACTACTACTAACAACAACAACAACATCAAAAATTAAATGAATGTGGGTTTAATTTTTTCATTAAATAATTAAATAATCATTAATAATATACATTATATATATATATA